ATAGCCGTGTCTAAGCGTGGAGACTTAGACACAGTATATACTTCGGGAGCTTTTGTGGCTCTAATTTTTCGCAAGTGGGCCTTTCTGGCAGAGCTGGACCCTCCTCCTCCAGAAAATCCTTCAAATATCACTCTAATCTCCCCCATAGGTTGCTGGTGTGGCTCTGGTGCTTGACGCTGAGGGGGTGGAGGTGGGAGAACTCAGTTTTGATTATCATTGGCCATATAGCATCGTAGCTGCCCTCGCTGGATTAGAAATTCTATTTCCTTCTTCAATTGGATACAGTCATCAGTGTGATGACCATAATCTCTGTGGAAGTCACAATACTTCGTAGGATCCCTATTTGTCGGGTCTGCTTTCATCCGGGGTGGCCATCTTAAGAACTTCTCATGTTACACCTCATACAGTATCTGAGACACCGTAGTAGTTAGAGGAGTGAGCTGCCGGGGTGCATACCTCGGTTGTAGCTCTGGTTGTGGAGGGCCGAGACGATCCCTGACATTTCCTCTACTCTTTGGGGAACGCTCTCTGTCTCTTCTTGGAGACCTGCCTCGTTCTCTTTCCTTTCTGGGACTTCGTTCTCTCTTCTTTTCTTCTTTCCTTTCTCTTTTCTCGACGAAGAGCTCCCGACCTTGGAGAGGAGCGCTTCCTCACCATTTATGTACTTTTCTGCTTTGGCAAGCACCTTTGCCATACTAGCCTAGGGGTTCTTTGAGAGGAAAAACATCAGATCTCTTGACTGAACTCTTAGACCTGCTATGAAGGCTGTAATAGCAAATTTTGCATCTGGGACATCCACCTTCAAGCATTCTGAGTTGAACCGTTGGACATAAGACCGTAGGTTCTCATCAGGTCCCTGTTTCACATTTAACAAATGGTATCTCAGTTTTCTATAGGTCCAAGCTCCAATGAAATGGGACACAAACGAGATTGACAGCTCTTTAAAAGAGGAGATCGAGGCTGGGGGGAGTCTATTGAACCATGCTAAGGTTGAGCCCTTCAGGGTGATAGCAAAGACTCTGCATCTCATTGGATCTTGATATCTATGCAACTCCATTTGGTTTTTGTAGGTGTTGAGGTGGTCCATGAGATCCTTTGTCCCATCGAAAACATCCACCTGTGACATTCTAAATTTATGTGGGAGAGGGAAGTGCAGCACCCCAGCAGTGAATGAGGATTCGGTTTGCTGCACCAAGACATCCATAGTGACTGGGGCCTTTCTCTTTACTGCCTCCTTCATTTGACTGAGCTCTTGTTGGATATCTTTGAAACGTTGCTCTCAGTGATGTTCTTTTCTCTCCTGTTAATAAGGGAAAAAGTCGCTCCTCTCCCCTTCCTTACATTGACTTTGCACTTCCTCGTTGGAGGTTCTTGCCCCAAGGTCTGGCTATTCTCTCTCCACCTCATTAACTTCTCTGAGGGGGTCGATATGCGGTTGCTCTCTTGGTGGTGGATTATTCTGGCCTCCTTGGGCCGGTTGCGCCTCCTGTGGGTGTTGTAGGAGCTTTAAGAGCTCTTCATTCGGTTTTATCAGACGTTCATTGGCAAGACGAAGGGCCTCCATCTCATTATTCATGGGAAGGCTCTCCATGGGGGGATCTGCATCTTGCGCATTTTCAGGTTGTCTGCTATTTGCGGCTTCTTGTTGATCTTGCATCCGTAGAGGATTGATCTGATTTCGGCTCATGTTTCACGTTCATACCATTAGTCACTGGAAAATCAGTTATATTTCTAACAGGAACAGTCGTTCTCACAGATGACGCCAAATTGATGGTGTAAACCGAATTGTATGAGTAATGAATCGTAATTATGCTTTGCAGTGATGATGTTGTGATAATGAAAGAAATATTCTTCTAGGGGTTGGGAGGATTAACATAAAAGAAGTACAGTGGTTCACCAGCTCGGGAGCTGGCTAATCCACTCTTTAATGGAGACTCTTGCTCCTTATCTTTCAATAATGATGATTGCAAGAGTACAATGACTAATTTTTGCCTCTAGGGTCCTCTCCCCTCCTTGGGGGCATTACATGGTATTTATAAGGCTGTTCCTTATTCAGTGGGATCTTGGCCGAGATTCTTGCCTTTATTTCGTGGGGTTCTCCTTAATTCTAGGAGAAGATCTTGGTTGGTTGAGATTAGGTGCCTTGATTATAGCTTCCTAACGCTTTAGGAACCTCTCGTGGTTATCCAGCCGTTGCCTTGCCTCAAGAGACATTCAACTCTTGCCTTCTGACCTCAGTTAATATAGTTGACCTCCCGGTCTAAGCTGAACTCCTGAGCTAACACTTGGGATTTACTTTAGGCATCATTAGGTATTAAGCAAAATTCGCGCAGTAAAAATCGATTGTTACTGTAATCGTGTGACTTTCTAATTCACGTTACTGTATAGTTTCTAGAATTTTTGACCGTGATTGTGGTTATTACTGTGATTAAGTGACTGTCTAGTTCACATTAATGTCCAATTATGTAGAATTTTTTTATAACTGTTATTGTGATCATGTTGCAATCTAGTCCACTACTATTCTATGCTCCAACCCTACCATATTCCATAACACCTCAATTCCTAACCATTGCCTTTTACACCATAAATGTGACAATGACTATTATTACTATATTGATGTTATTGTCTTGTTGTTACGGTCTATTTTATAATATAACTATTTATGTCATTAAAGGTAAATTAATCTTTTAAGAATTGACTTTTATCATCCGATACTTTGTAATTATTCTCTTTTTAATTTTATAATTTTTTTTTGAGGGAGGGGAGTTTTATTTTTTGTTTCTTATGCATTTACATGATCATTCTCCCCTCTCGCCAGCCGGCAATGTTGTGGACGCCGAGATAGTTGCACGAGCTTTAACTGTTGACCCTTTTTCACCCACTAGCCACCGTCTTCACAACCCTAAGGAGTAGGCTAGTGGAATGAGGGATAAGTTGCAAATCCAAATATTCTGCGTTAGAAACTTGACAATTTATTCCTCATAAATTCCTTAGTCTCGACATAGATAATCTAATTTTATTCGAACTAGGGAGAGAATTAATTAAAATAACGTAAGTTAACCCAAACACCTCTCATCATTATACATAAAAAAAAAAAACCAATTCCTTGAAATTTGTTACTCATAAATAATCCTGATTCAGGGTTTTATTTTTTCTTGCTCCACCATTACTGCAGATTATTGGGCTCGTTTGAGGTGAGTCTCTCATCCAATCCATCATCTGTTAATCGTTATTTAATCTGAAATTATAGCCAATTTTCTAAGTATTACACTCGCACATTGAGCTAGAAGAATCTCTCATTCCCTAGGTATTTTCTTAGATTAACTTGTTTGGTGATTAGAATTTGGAAGGTCTGTCTTATTTTTGCAATTTTGTTTTACTCATTTGGAATTAGACATTGGTGGGTAAATTGGCATTTCTTCTTTCTTCTTTAACAATTGCGTGATTTGCTTCTGTTTGTTTTAATGATTGAAATTGACAAAAAGACTTGATTGTACCTTTACCTTGCCATGAAGTAGAATGCAAAGCACCGAAACCAGATATTTGAACAGAGGAAAATTCCCAATGAAGTACACGATTCTTCAATGAAATATAACTTCTTCATGGAATGATGATAATTGCTGTATGACTCCATCAACACACACCATGAATAGACAAAAAAAAAAACAGTCTATTATTCTGCATCTCATATGGGTTTAATTAGTCTCTAACTCCTCAATTGGTCATTGACTTTATCCTCAGCCTCTTCATATTCCATATCCTACTGCTTCTTTGCTTGCTTTTCTCGATCAAGCATTCTTGTGCTTAGCAAAGAGGTAATAGTATTTAGGGTGACAAAAATCTATATTCTTTTCCGAATAAGCCAACGCAGCTCTTGCTTGTTGTCTGTACGTGGTAGAGCCTGATAAATTGCCCAACCACCTCTTTAGCTCATCTCTTATCAACATTATAACTTTTTCATAAATAATGTCATTACCAACTCGCGAAGTAAAGCTCAGTCTCTATTCATTAGATGTTAGATGTAAAACTAGATCCTATATGGGTTAATCTCCTAAGCTCCTAGCCACTATAGTTTTTTTTTTTTTTTTTGTTTTATCTTTTTTGTCTAAAAATAAGTTTGATTTACTTCACCTATGAGAATTTCTACCAATTCTTATTTTATTCATCAAAGCTCATCCTAATCTCTGCCAGCACCTACCACAAAAGTGATGTCTGTTGCTAATAATGTGGCTACTGTTTAAAATGCACCGATTGAGGTAAATGCTGGTGTGGTTAAAGCTATAAATAATGCTCCGGATTTTTTTTTTTAAATGCTAATGACTCGACCAATCCAAAAGCTTTTGAGGTTGCTATCATTGAAGTTAGCCAGATGTTATTGCTACTTACATGCAAACCATTGAATATGGTTCTCGGGCTGAAGAGCTTGAATTAGATAACAATCCCTAAGCTCTTGTTCTTCAACAACCGAGTACAGTATTTAACTATTGAAAAATCGCTTTCGCTTAATGCAACCCTTAATATCGACGATAGCTCTGCCTCACAAGGACAACAGGAAGAGGAAATAATTGACAGAAATTGTGACACCCTAAAATCCGGGTGGCTATAATTATCCAATTGATCACCCATCAACCCTCAGAAAACTTGTGGATACCATGTAATTCGATACCACACCGTTATGCCCCATTTTTTGGAATCCATAAGTTACCAAAATTTGGATAGAATCTCCTTTATACGATGAGCTCTACCCAAAACACAACCTGTACAATATTAATCGCACCGGGTCTATCCATCAATTCACAATTGTATAGTATCGAATACTACTATAATCATCATCAGTACATACATTTATTTGTAAAATAATAAATGTCCCAAAAGAGTCCCATATACATGCCTTTGTAAATATCAACAAGTTTTTGTTACAAAAATAATACAAGGCTAAAAGTAAATATAAACAAGAGACTACAATGTCAAAATAAGAGCCACAGATCGGCTCTGTTGTCAAAGAGGGCTCATGGCCTCGCCTTCGGTGGATGTCTGTTCAATACCTGAAAAATGTTCCCATAAAGAGTGAGCCAACGCTCAATAGGGTAACTCTTATAGAGAATACCTCTCAACCTAAATGCATATAGAATATCACATACAACAATCATTTGATGCATTCATTCAAATATGTCAATTATGATTGAATGTCATAAATCATGTCATGACATGAGATGAGACTCACGCAAACAATACCAATCCCGAGCCTCATCCTGAGCTCCCATAACACATGCAATGTCATGCGTATGTATCCGAACATTCCAAACCCCCATCATTGGTTATGTACACTCAATGACTAACTAATTCATTTTCTTGTGTCTTTGTGGAGATGTGATTTATAGTATTACACCAATGGGACACCAACCATAAACGAATTTTCAGGACATCCCACCTGCGGCTCCGTTTTCACCGTTACACTTTTCTGGAATTTCACCGCCAAAAAATGTATAAACCAAGTAAGCGGATCTTGCACCCGAGAGAGAATCTAGCCCTTCTTGCTGTCCTCAACACATTTATCCATTTAATTTCCCGTGCGATTCAGCCGAACCTTGGTGTGACTTTTTCGAACCCACGATCAACCACCTATATGGTGATTAATTTCATACTATGCATACACTCTCACCCATGTCAATACCCATGAATGTAGTACAACTCATGCATAATGCAATACAATGTCCATTACATAATGAAATAAAATATAATGACATTTTAACACAATCTCAAACATGTTATATAAGATAATCAACTCAATTAGCATACTTGTATTCACCTAAACATTTAATCAAACACCTAAAGAGCACATAAATTTACACAACTAGCATGCTATGACTTTTAACATGACAACATGTTTATTAATTATATAAACATAAGTACAAGTCCACCAAAATAATCATATGTTAAATAATCTTTTAACATATATATTATTTCATAATCACATAATAAGCTAATAATTTTATTAAACTTGATATGCCATTAAAACATAAAATAATACTAATATACAATTAACATGCTTTAAATCACTAACATTAACTTACACCAAGTTAATTGTAATAGGATTTTATTAATCACAAGGTTAATTATAAATCTTATATTTGACCCACTAGTTACAATAGTCAAGACCTAACATGTGATATACACTCATAGCTTATCCATTCCATATGTCATATTTTAAGTTGAAATTAAATCTAAATAGGAAAAACCCTACCTCTCGTAACGTGAGCCCACTTACTAGAACTCTAAAGAAACCCAAATTTAACTTCCTAAGCCTTAGGCCTAGATTATCAGCTTTAATATTCTTTCAGAAAAAAATACAATATTTGGTGTAATTGCGTACCTCTCGCTGAGTAGAGCAACTTTAATTCTTGGTCTGAAGCGATTTAAAGGTCCAATCTTTATAGATCTGAAGAAGAAGAAAGGAATAAAATAAAGAAAAAAAACAAAACTCTTTTCTCTCTCTCTCTCTCACTCGGCACCGGCCGGAGAAAGGAAAAAGTAGAAGACTTTAGTCTTCCACACACATTTATATATATAGTATAAATTTATTTTTTTTTAAAAAAACTTTTACGTTTTTGACCCTTATACTAACAATTAATTATTATGTCACCCCTTTAATTTAGATTTTTAATAATAATAATACTAATAATTTTTAAATTTTTTTTTTTTTTGGGTTTTACAAAAATTTTGTTGATTGCATGAAATCCAATTTGAGGAAATCCGACATGAAATAGAACTTCTTCATGTCGGAGAGTTGACCCCATCAACTCTCCAACATGAATGCAGGAAATCCGATTCCAGCAATCCATCAATATTTATACACCACCAGAGACATCAAGCAGCTGACAGGACATTCAATTATACAGACTCAATGAAGAGAGTGGTCCACGACCTTCAATGTTTTGACTCAAAAATTTCAGAGCAACTCACATCTTACAAGCGACGCCACAGTATCCTGAGTGACCATGACTACTGATAACCTGCATGTAGTATCACTGCTACACTAAATATTTTATCCGTGTTGGGTCGAGGCACATAACTTGGGTCAGAAGGCAATTGAAATCCAACTAGATACCACATTTTCAAACATTCAGATACAGTGGCGAATGGACAAAATCCATCCTCAACCCCCAAAACTTTACATCTCAATCACTTTTGAGTTGTTGCTTCACTCATTCCCCCTAAAGAACTCAAATTTTATCCACTTCTTTCATGATCCACTTTACAAACTCAAGGGTGAGTAAGGACCGACTTCGAGTAACATTGCTTACAATGAAAAATAAACGGAGCAAACCAAACACGAAAGCTTCAAAAAGATGCACAGAACAAGGATTCTTGGATCTTAGGCACCAATGGAGGTTCACTGAGAATATGGTATTATATGCGTGGAACAGGAACTATGGACACGTCCATTCAATAGCGAATTTATGTAAAGAAAAGGTCACTAGGAAATGAAAACCCTTCTTAAAGCACAAAACCTCGACACAACCTATCAAGGACACCACAGGCACATATTAACTCCTGTGTAAAGGTTCAACAGAAGTTTAGCATCTAAAGGACTATTCATGTTCCATCTGCCCATTGAAAAACCAGATTGGCTTTTAGCTTTGCAACCATTTGACATGCTTGTTCCAAAATCTAATAGGCTTAACATCTAACATTACTGAGAGTCCATTTTTTGATGTAATCTCATGATGCTATTGCGACAAACATGGAGGAAATAATTTTTTTAGATAAAAGAAAGCTACATTCCTGCTATTTGTTGCAACTTACATAAGTGAACTGCGTTGTTGGAATTTAAGGAAGAAAAAAGACAATAATACCTATTGAATGTACATGGTACCACCACTTAAGTAGGTGGTGCCCTTGCTTCTAATTTATAGATCACCTGCACACAAAAGACAAATGCCTCCAGAAAATGCAGCTAAGTTTGAGAACAGGGGTAAATAAAAAATTTCACCTCAAGATGTATCGCATTATATCTAATGCTCAACCTGTAATTTGATCAGAACCACTACCCTCAGCGAATTGGGGAGGGTGAGCAGCAACCATAATTCGTACATGTCCTCGAGACGATGCAGTGAAACCTGAGGAAACAAGGAACCGAGTAATATAGCACCACACATATATGCAGTTAAAATTATAACCCTCAGCCTCTCTATAGTCTTTCTTTTTTTCCTGATTAAAAAAGAGGGGTGGGGGCAATGCAGAGTGCCCATAAACCACCCTGATAAACCCCCACTCGTGAGATCACGAGGCCCCTGACCGTGCCATTGCCCTTATCGGGAACGAACCAAGTTAGTTTAGCATAACGGTCAACTATCAATATCCAATGTGAACTCCAGGACTCAAACCTCCAACCTCAAGGTGAGAAGTTCAGTGGTACCCCACTGGACCACCTTACTCGGTGGTCCTCTCTCTAGTCTTAAATTTCATTGGTATAAGGTCATAATCCAATTTCAAAGGTGCCAACAATCACCAACACAACTTAAGGGGAAAAGAAAAATCATCAACACAAGGATGCATGTGTCATAACTATCATCAAGTAAGAATTTCAAAGAAAATAGAGTCGAGAGATGTAAGCTACATGATCTTAATATGGTCCACAAGGCACCAAATAAATTACAGGACAACAATTTTTTAAGAAAAAAGTAGTACCAGTATGGTCGCTAATATTGGTTCTGCCATATTGCAGCATATGAGGACCTGGCATCACATAACCTTGAATGTTTGTATTCCCAAGGCTGCCGGGAGAAGGACGTCTCATTCGATATGATGATATATTCGAGTTAGCTGCGCCTGGTACACCATATATCTGAAGGTAATGCTGACCCAAATGAGAATTGTAGACACCCTGGGGAAAATTAGATAGGACTCATCACACCTTCCACACATATTACTAAAATCGAGTACTTCAGTCCATTGTAATTTATAAATTTCAAATAGCATCTGACAATTGACAGTTGGACTTACTGACCTGTGGATAGACATATTCGGCTCCATATGCCGGATACCTGCCATAAACGGAATGGAAAAAAGATTGAATCTCTTGATGTCAAAGAGGCTACAAATTCTACTAGATTCTGCTGGCAAATGCATGTTGATTTCACACAATCATAAATTTCGATATGTGGGTTAGACCAAGGCTATCAGCCATACACATGACAGATGTTCGATAGTAATGTAGCAAACTAAGTAAGCCATATCTTATAGTGCAAGTTGCCAAAGTATCCTGATGGATTTCATGTTTTTGACCAAAGTCAACATATGACTTCATTTTAAATAACAATCACTCATCAAGTTAGTACTTATTTTTACTAAGTATGGTGTTATGTGCTACGCATCTATATAGAAGATTAGCTTTGCAGAGCTTGATAGACTATTAAGCTTTGTGGCTAGAAATATACAGCCCAATATAGATGATTTTTTATCATCACAAAGATGTTATTAACAATCAATCTTATGTCTATGAAGACAGTTGCACACTTCATATCCGAGATCAGCCAAGGATAGCTTAACATGAGGAAACCTCTAAATATCTTGCTATATCCAATTCCAAAGACATGGCCTTGCACTTCAATTACACTCTTTAAAAAAAAAAGAGTTACTCATGAAGTATTTCACAGCTAATTTTTTTAAAACACGACCAAAAAAATATTCTACTTTAGAAATTAACACAAATTTTACTTAACCAATTAAGTGCCACCATTCAAAAACTATAATGGTCTTTTCATTTCCAGGTGCAACAGGTTTATACTTTGTAAGTGATGGAGACGAGTATACCAATTCAAGATAATGAGGTGCCTGAGCCACACTTAGCACCTGGAAAAGGCCAATAGAAAAACATTGAATCAGATGATTCTTTACAAAAGGGGAATTTGAATGTTTTACTATTGACTCGAGACTGAAAGATCCAGAATATGCACTCTACAACACAGTTGCTGAGCAGGGGCTAACAAATAACAACCCAATATCTGGAAGAATTATAGCGCACCCATACAGAAGATAAGGCAATCCAGGTTGATAGCTGTACGAAACTGGTTGGTGGTAAGAGGGGCTTCCGATGTACGGCAATCTAGGGGTCTGAGCACTCCCACTATAAGGCACTGCTGACCTCAGGCGTCCTATGATAACCAAAAACAAATGAAGAAATGTGTATGACAGAGAGAATGGACATTAAATTCTTGTTTCCTTTCTTGCTAAATAGAATCTATTGAAATTAATGCAAGAAGTGTTTGTGCCTAGTTAAGTGTTCGATGAATGTGTGTCAGGTTCAAATCTCAGTTTCACATACTTAAGTTGAAAAATAATGAGACTCAAGGTTGCCTTGTACTCGATAAGGTTTGTACCTATCCCTAAAAGCTAGATAAAAAAATAAAAATAATTTATTCCTTAAAATAGAGTTAAACTTAAAATATGTTAGCTTCAATTGCCAAGGAGGAAAATCAGAATATTTGAGGGAGTGGAGTGGGTAAAACAGTGTTCATTATGGATTTGATCCGAAGTATCACCAAAATTCACGGCATACTACTATAACACTAAGCTTATAAGCTTGGTCTTTCATCATTATTGAGAAGCAAAACCATCTCTGATATTTCCTGAAGCTGTGAGTATAATTGCAAGCGCAGATAACACTTGTAAATCATCAGATGTACATAAAGGTTCAAGAATTACTTGAGGATAAAGTACTATAGGCACAAGAACATCAACTACATCATTAATCTTCTTTCCTTTTGTCACTCACTCTCTCTCTCTCTCTCTCCCCACAAGGGTTTGAGACTCTTGGTTGGAACGGGATAACTTTTTATCTTCCCTACTTTGTTAGAGGGCAACACCAAATTGGAGCGCACCTAAGCCCATTCCATCTTTACCACAGAGGCCAGGCTTGGACTTAATGCCAGGGGATCAACCTAACTTTTAAGTAATCCAAGCCACTCCTGAGTGATTTACTGTTCTATCTATGTACATACCTGTTGGTGTATATTGGTGTTCATAAACCACAGATTACTGTAGAAAAGAAGACCTCAGACTTAACACAAAAAAGGTAAAATAATAACAGTGTGAAATCAAATCTGAAACTGAAGGATGATACCATAAGGCAAAAATGGTTGAGATCGCCCAAGAGAAGCCAAATTGCAATTTGTCCTCCTTCCGTCAATAACAGGATTTGGATCTGCACAAGCCCTCTTTGCAGCTTCAGGATCACGAAATGTCACCTGAACTCAAGACAGATACACCCAATGCATACTGAATCTTGTATGAAGTAATCGATGAGAAATTGAATAGACTAATAAAAAAGTATTTCAATTGAAAAGAAAGGGAGAAACCGAATTGACAATGGGGGGAAAACACAAAATCCTTAAAATAACAAGCCTACAAATTATGTCATCCAAGCACCAAAAGACCCAAAAAATTGTTTCTTTTTCAGAGACTCAACACCCATTGTTAGAACCATTTTGTCATTTTGGTTGAAAAATGCGAGATTCAAAGCCGGAAGGAGTGATGCAATCCCTAAGGTTAAGAATCTAACATTCCAATAGACATGCTCTGATGCTCATACATTCTTTTCTGCTTCTAGAATCCTCAGACTTTTCTCTTTCAAGTAAACCAAACAAAATTATATCTTGAATACCTTTCTCCACATAGTACATACATTACGTCTTGAAGTCATTTATTCTTGAATATCATAAATATCATGGCAAGCACTGAAAATTTTCACTGTAGTTCACAGGTACACGTGCAATCAACAATCACTATCGTTAGATCTGCAATATGGTACACTTTCCAAACCAGAGAGTCTCCTAAGAATTATATTTGTATCACAATATGCATAAACCAACAAGCTAATACACATCAAGTTTTACAGTAACAGGGCATACTACATATTGCACAATGAAAACCATAAGCAAATGAGAAACAGATACACACGTGAAAGTGTCTACCTATTAAATGTAGTTCCAGTTACACAATCTACTAAAGCTACCTAAGCACAACCCCATCATGCCATGCTCCATGTAAGCAGCCTATTATATACAAATTCCCCTTTTATATACAAAAGATATGTTCTACATCTGACCACACACCACATATTAAGTATTTCTCGTAGCTAGGGGTGCAACTCGGGTGGGTTGGGAGGGTTAAAAGGTTAACCTTAACCTAATTTTTGGCATATAATTTTCAACCCTAACCCTACATCAATCCAAATTACTCAACCCAATTATTGCCCGAGTTTAAATCGGGTGGCCTCGGGTTGAATTCGGGTTACTTAATTCGGGCTGATTTCGGGTTAAAAATCGGGTTGAAGTTAGGTTACTTAATTTAGGTTGATTTTTTGAAGTGTATAATTGATTTTTTCAAGTGTAGATCTAAGATGAAGGGAGGCGCAGATGAAGAGAGAGAGAGTGAAAGAGGGAGGCTGACAGTCTAAGACGACTCGAACGAGTGACAATTGAGAGAGAGATCTGAGAATTATGGATGTGTAGAGGTGAAGACTTTAAGTGAAATAAAAATCTCGACTCTAAAAATTGAAGATAAATACTACTCTTAATTAAATATATTTATATATTTATGTATTTTCGGGTTCAATCCGATTTAATTATCTGGTTCAACTCGATTTTAATTTCGGGTTGACCCCGACAACTCGAGGTCTCAACCTGAGACTTGTCCAAATTCAATTCGGGTTGGAGTTTTGTCCAGACCCAACCCAAATATTAAAAATTCTAACCCAAACTCTTTTTTTTTCGGGTTGGGTTTGGGTTAAATTCGGGTTGGCCTTCCCAAGTTACACCCCTACTCGTAGCTTGCTTGGCAGCTAAATAAGTAAAGAACATGAATATGTTTCCATGTCCAAACCATCTCTATATCCATTATTGAGCAAAATTCAATAGCATTAAAGATGGTAATAGATAGAGTGTTTGTTTTCTTAAGAACTGATATGAATTGCCAAAATGAGAATGCTGAAAAGAATGATCACCGTCTTAACACAAACATGAATGCTTATGAAAATCCACACAAACCTATATGTAGCAGCAGTGATTATAGTCCAATTGAACTGAAGCCATTTATAAACATGGTGTTTTCGTCTTTGAACTTTGAGAGAGCATCGAGAGCAACCATTGTTAAACAACTATCTCTTCCAAAAGTTTGGCCTGTTAGAGGGAGGTTGTAATTTAAATATTTATACTTCAACACGCCACACTATATTTTGGGTCTATCATGTGGAAACTCTTTTAATAAGTAGAATGGCGGCCAAATTCGACTGCAGGACATTATACCATATTAAACAATATACAATTTTAAACAATCATCTACTAAAAAGTTTAAGCGATAAGGTGTAAACTACAATAACCATAACCACAAGAATAACTAAAAAACTAACGAAAAGAAGTACTCACAAAACCATAGCCTTTCGATCGACCGGTATGCTTATCGGTGATAACGACAGCCTCGAAAATTTCCCCAAACTGCTCAAAGTGACGACGCAATGTGTTGGTCTGCGTTTCCCATGCCAGGCCTCCCACGAACAACTTGGTATATGTGGTGTCTCCAAAAGAGTAATTCAAAAATTTCAATCCCGACCCACTACCAGAAAAAGGCTGATAAGCCATTAAACGAACCCCTCAACAAATACAAATATATGTGTTTATTCGTATAATCGTATATGATTTATGTATACCCAAATCAGATAATGATCCCCCAGAAGCTAAATATTGCACAACCCCACTTGATATAATTCAAGTGATCCTCAGGTATAGCCAGTAAATGCCGAGTTTCAATAGAATCTTGTGAACACAAAGAACTCCTAAAGTGATCAGTTCAACAAGGCAGATATTCAACACGGGAGGAAGTGTTTTCCACTGAGAAACCCTTGAAAACCCCCAAACTATCCAAAGAGATCGAGACTTGAGAGAGAGAGAGAGATGTGACAGGGTTTTCAGAAGAGTGCAGTGCAAGAGAATGTTCCAGACAAAAAAATACACTTTTGTAAGATTAATAATTATAAAAAAAATATAATTGATTCTAAAATATTATAATTGATTATTAAAGAGTAAATTATAATTTTAAAAAATAAAAATTGTAATTAATTGAGTTAGTTATGAACAATAATAATATTTTATGATCAAAACAGTTATAATTTCACCTAAATATAATTTAACTTTAAAAATTATAATGTAATGTACTTATATTATATTTAACTATAATATAATTCCAATTCTGTAAAATTATCTTTTTTTAAAAAACAATTATAAGGAAAATGGTAGATGAGGTTAGAACTTGTGATACAATGGTCTAATAGTGGGCTAGAGTGACTATTAAATCAATTGTTGATTCTCCAGGATATTTTATGAATAGTATATAATTCCTAGATCTAAGAAGAAAAAAAATTCAAGCATTTTACCTAGAAAATGAATTTGAGCTCGAATCTATTAGTAACGTAGTATAAAAAAAAACCCAAATATTTTATTTCTTTTATAATTAATCATAACTTTTTAAGATTAATTCTAATTTTTTTTTTTTGCTTATAATTAGACCTTAAAAACTAAACCATAAAAATTATAAATTTCGATGCCGTAAGAGTCAAATCCTAATATGAAAAATGAGTTGAGAAAATAATAAGAATAAATTTTTAAAAAAATGAGTATAAATTTTTAATTAATTCCTCAAAACTATCTCCCACCCGGTGATTTGTATTTTCCTTAATGGACGCAACACATAAGATCAGGTGGTGTTTTGCCACGTACGCGTACAAAATATGCTAAAGTGGGATAAAGACTAGGGAAGTTTCTACCGTGGCCTGCCTCACTATCTCAAGAAAGGGACTCCCACAAAAAGACATGGGGGTGGTGACATGGAAAGTCATCGTGTTCTTACAGGAGAAAATATTATGTGATCACCAGACCAGATAGTATTTTATAGTGTCGATAATATACATCATACATACATCTAAATTTTGTCGTAGACGAAAACTTGTGTGCACCCTGGGTCCGGCTTGTTCACTATGAGTAGATATGTATATAAGCGGATATACACCATATATATATCTTGATTTATCTCATATTGAAGTACCTTTGAAAATTTCAAAACCCAATATTTCGATCGGGTTCGGGTTGGTTGCACACTGCAGCTTGGGCACCATCACAAACCATTTGTAAGTTTAAATTTTTTGTTTGATTTCCAGTGACTTCGTATTAGTTCTAATCGTCAAATATGAAATTACAAAAATGGGGATTAAAGTATCTTCCGGTGAAATATAAGAAATAATGAATACTCGTCTTTTTTTTTTTTTTTAAATGGAGATCCAAGCATCACCCAAGTTCCAGCAACACATACACCAAAATAGACATCCTGTTTGTAGATTAGTTAAAAATTTCATTTAAGCTTTGTTCGTTTTTTTTTTCTATTGTAGTCTACACTCCACATTGAAAATAGACACCCTGATTTGAAGATTAGTTAAAAATTTTCGTTCAAGGTTTTTTTTTTTTTTCGTTTTTTCTATTGAATTCTACAATCTACATTGAAAATAGACATCTCGATTTGTGGATTTGTTAAAAATTGAATAATGTGCATCAATGTTTTGTACATCAATGTTTTTTGTGTAGAATATATAATGGTTATATTTTGTTCTTAATATGATGGTGATATTGTATTAATAGTTTTCGTAACTCTTTTAGCGTTGTAGGAGGATCTATTTATAATGGAGATAGAATGTGTTAAGATTGATATAACAAATAATACTTTGCGTATTGACATGCAATTTGACACAGAGGAAAATGCTTATAAATCTATAAAAATTATGGAGGTTCTCTGAGATATAGTATGAGAAAATATTATCACAACAAAAAATTGAAAGATGGTTTGGTAATGTATAGAAATATGTTTGTTATAAACAAGGATAAAGAAGTCAGGCTATGAAGCACGGATATGGATATGGGATACAATACGATACGGATACAGTAATACGACAAAATCTAAAAAAGTCGGATACGGGTACGATCAAAATATAACTATAATAAAATATATTTAATATTTTGATTATTTTCAATCAGCTTAATATTTATACATTTTGGTAGTTCTTTAACACAATAAGAAAAATTAATAATTCTTTTTAATTTCAAAAAAATATATATCATATCACTATGGTATATTCATAAAGTGAAGTGATTCATTAAAAAATCAAAACTAATATTTACCGAGTCGGTTTATTTAGAAATAATTTTTGCTAAAACTATAATGTAATAGATTTATTTTATACTCTCTTGACTTATAATTATAGATAATACTTAAAAAATACTCATTTGCTTTTGAAGTAGTACAAATTTTTATTAATGTATTGTATGGTATGTGAATTCGAAAGAAAATGTTAAAAATTCAACTCAAAAATTATATATGTTGTTTTAACACAAAAATATCTGAATATTTAATTATTATCGGATACATTGTAGGTGTATCTAATACGTATTCTCTAGTATCGTATCCGTGCTTCATAGAAGTCAAGTAGAGATTTGAACGAATTGTCTGGCTCACATATGCATATCTCTTAAGAGAGATACGAGAAAATTTGTTGTGGGGAAATAGTAGGACAAACACAATCACCCTTTGCAATTTGGTGAATGTATGCACATGATGCTATCCCAACGAAAGGTTTCTAAAACCTATGACAACAATGTTGATATGACAAAGGATTGAAGGATCTCATTCAAGACATCGTATGAACTCTTGAGTACGCTAGCGGGTGGGAGGGAAAACTTAGGCTTTACCCGTCAAGATAAAAAAAATTACATTTAACAAAGGAGACAATGATACTGGAGATATGGTTAAGCTAAGTAGTTTGTTAAAATATTTCCAGACAAAAGAAGCAAAAAATTCATCATTCTATTATGGTGTGCTTGGATGTTGAGGAACATATCACAAATATTTTTTAGGCTGATTCAAGAATGATTATTTATTATGGTCATTTTGGAGATGTTGTTACATTTGACACAACGTCGTGAACAAACAAAGATTATCGACCCTTTGGAATTTTTATTGGCTTCAACTAATTTAGGGAGACAATTATATTTGGTGCTGCATTGCTATATGGTGAAACGACAACATCATTTAAGTGGTTATTTGAGACATTTCTACATGCTGGAAAGAAGTTTGTTACCATATTTATAGATCAAGATCAAACAATGACTAAGACTTTATCCCAAGTGATATCAAAGACCTTTCGTGGGTTATGTACATATCAATCAAACTTTGTTACACTATTCAAAAACTGCATAAATGGATATGATGAAGAACATGATGATTCGCATTTTTTAGTGATCTGAATTATAACATATTATACACCAAAGTATAAGTGGTCAAATTGTAATTTTCTCAATTTCAGTCCAAGTATCAATCCCACAAAAAGTTTAGTAATTTAGTAGTTAAAAATAAAAAATAGTAAAGTTATTGTTGAGGCTGTATGATGTTTGATAGCTTTGATGTGAGCTTAGCTTGACAGCTAGTTTAACTTAAATAAAGTGCATAAATAAACAAATAAAATGCGTAAGTAAATAAATCAAGTACGTAAGTAAATAAATTAAGTGCGTAAGTAAATATGTTAACAACAAGAATATAAAAGATACCCTTCAGTTTAAGGGTCCCATATGCATTATATTTGTTAGATACTGGAAATGCTACCGTACCAAGATTAACTTTCATTTTATTGGCAAGTCAACCAGTTGGTCTGATGTATATAAACCATAGCACAACCGCTTCTTAGGCTAACTGAGGGTAATAAATCATAACACAGCCGCTTCTTAGGCTAACTGGTTATATCCACGTCAATTGATTAACCCAAGCAAACCAGGAGGACAAACCATTCATGAGGAATACTTAAGTTATTCACTTGATTTCATGATTATAAGTGCGTACACGATAAACCATAACATAGCCACGTCTTATGTTAACTGGTGGTATTATAGCATAACACAACAACTTCTTAGAAAAGCTGGTTATAGACATACCAATTGACTAATTCAAGTAAACCAGAAGGCTGAGTCATTCATGAGGAATACTTGAATTACCCAATAGGTCATCTGTGATATATATATATATATACCAGTTAAACATCCTCAACATTCTGGTGGAGGACAAGCTATACCGGTAGGAACGTCTTGGTTGTTAGGCTAGCAATATATTTATTTATAGTATTTAAATAACCCTAATAATTCAGAAGGACAAGCCATTCATGAGGAACATTTAGGTTCTGTACCACACATCAGTAGAACATTCTTAGCATTCCGGTGGAGCACAAGCCATACCGGTAGGAACGCCGTGGTTGTTTAACCGACTGGTCTTATGATGCACTGATGACATAATTCAAGGCATAACACTGGAATTATGCTCATCACTGTATCACGCATTAAACATATAATACATAGATAAATAAAATATAAATAAGATATCAGTTTTTCCATAATCTAAACAACAATATACATATGTTCCCCTCGCACTGAGGGTATAAATGACTACTTATGCTCCATTGCTACAGACAAGCAAGGAGTATGGGTAAATATTCATTACAACTAAAAATAAAACTTCTTTCATAAGGAACAATTGAAACACAACCACCTTTATT